CAGAGAGAGGAAGGGAGAGGGAAAGATAGAAACATCAATGATGAGAGTCATCCATTGGCTACCTCCTGCATGCCCCCTACTGGGGATTGAGCCTGCAACCCAGGCAGGTGCCCTGACCAGGAATTGAACTTCGATCTCCTGTTTCATGAGTGCAGGCTCAACCACTAGGCCACACCAGCTGGGTTGTATAGATCTTTAAAAATGTATCTATGTCTTTGATGGTTAATATCTAACATTTTCATGTACCCTGAAATCTTTTTAAACTATGACTTTAGAAGTCTTTGCAGCACACGGCCCAAGCCCCTGAGTTGGAAAGGAGTTGACTGAGATTCTCAGCTCAGCCCTCTGTGGTGGTTTGAGGGAGCAGCCCTGATGCATGCCCTCGGCCATCTCTCCACTAGTGTTAGGATAGCTCGTGGAAAGCCTGCCCTGCATGGAGCCACAGTCTCCTGCCAGTTTGCAAATAGCCTCATTCCTAATTTATCTCACTTCTCTTTTCTGAGCCAGTGACCCAGATTCATTTAGCTGTAGGAAGCCTCACAGGGCTGTGCAGACCGGTCTCCATGTTGCCATACTAGAAAAAGTGAGGAGAAAATCATCAAGCTGCCTAAAAATGGGGAGAAGATAATAGAAAACCTCTCACACAGTTACTTTAATTCAAGCCGGACCTGTGTTAGGAACTAAAATGCTCCAGTTCAGGAGGTAATGTAGGTCTACCCATATTTGGCTCCTGCCCTCTAAGTGCAGTCTACTTCTCCCACCACTAGGTGGCAATCCTGTTTTCAAGCAGATTTCATAGCAATAATCCTGCTCAAAACAAAAAGTAAAAATGAACTGTTTTCACCCCATCATGATAGCCAAAATAAGTTTTAAAATTCTTGTTAGTGAATATGTGGGAAAGCAGAAAATTTCAGACATCACTGGTGGAAACACAAGTTGATTTGGGAGAGGAATTTGGAGTAATGTTTAGGCTGTGCACATCCTGGGGTCAGCAAAGATGCGTCCAGGTGTGTTCATTTGATGATGATGGCTTACATTAATTTTGTTCCCATGATGTGCCAGGCACTGTCCTAAGTGCTTACATCACAGTACTACTCTATCATAATAGTAGGTACTATTATTTCCCCCCAATTTACAAATGAGGAAATCAGGCACAGAAAGGTCAGGTAACTTGCCATAAGGTCACAGAGCTAGTCAGTGGAAGAGCCACAATCGAGATCCTGCTTTCACCGCATTGCACCTGCCTCCTGTGTGCCAAGAAACATGCACAAATGAGGGTGCTGTTCACTGCAGCACTGTCTACAGTAACAAAACGTTGTTAGTTAGCCTATCAGCCCATTGGTGAGACAATTAAGTGTGAGGAAATACAGATCTGGAAGTGATCACCTGGAGATATCTCAAAAATAAATGTAGACAAAGTGAAAACCAAAAATGTAGAAAGAACTATTTTTCATGGAGACCAAGACAGGTGGTAAAACTATAAAAGGATACACTGGAAAGCTACCCTCCAACTTTATGATGGTGTTTATCTCAGGGGAGAGAAATGGGATTAGGGACACAAAGGAAAGGACTTTTATCTGTGATGATCTATTAAAAAGTCTCCCCCACAACTTTAAAAAAAAAATTATTGATTTCAGAGAGAGGAAGGAAGAGGAGAGAGAAACATCAATGATGAGAGAGTCATTGATCAGCTGTCTTCTGCACACCCCCTTCCGGGGACCGAGCCCGCAACCCGGGCATGTGCCCTGACCCGGAATGGAACCGTGATCTCCTGGATCCTAGGCCGACGCTCAGCCGCTGAGCCAAGATGGCCAGGCCCCCTCACAACTCTTGATCATAAAGGAACCCTAACTCAGAACATCATTTTATGATTGGATTCTCACCTGCATTACCCAAACCTGGTCACTCTTATTGTTGAGGCAACATGAAAACCTTTTACTCGGGGACGTCTCCCCAGAGATTCTCTCATGTTCTTCTATAGTGTAACTAACTTTAAGGTTTACAGATTTCACTTCCAGCAACAGCACATCTCTGCTTAACCTGTAGGCCTCAGGCTGGGAGGGAGGGAGGCAAGGAGTCAGTTCTGCCTTTTACTTAGTAACTGATTTAAGACGTCGTTTCTCTTTAGGGAACCAGCTCCAAACAACTGAAGTACTTACTTAAAAATAAAAGTTCCAGCTATTTCCTTGCTTCGCTGTGTGTGGGAGACAGAGGTCAGGAAGGTTACAATAAAATGTGTAATTGCTCAGGTGGAGAGACAGTGAATAGAACCAGTCACCCCCAACTCCCTTTAAGCTTGTGGGCAAACTGGTTACCTGGGAACAGGCTTAGGACTGAGCCCTCTTCCTGTGTTCATCAGGGTCAACAAACACGAAGCCCTAGGCCATGTGTCCACGTTTCCCAGGAACTGTAATGGGCTTATAGAGGGGGTTGATGTTCTCAGGTTAACAGGTGCTGATGGCTCTGAGCAAGAGGCCAGTCGAGGGGAAAAACTGTTTTTTGGAAAAAATTGGCTTTTAGTGCCAGCATGGAGCTTTTGCCAGCTGCGTGAAATGCAGTTTTAGTGACTGCATTAATACGAATGTGTAGAACTGCAGAACGGAATGCAGTTTTGAATCTAATGCATTGTCTCAAAGCTTAGGACTATAAGGCTACATTTTGTGCTTCTGTGAGGTAGCCCCCTCAGAAAAACAATGTATACTTCCTTTTTAAAATACTTTAATTAGCCCCGCTGGGCGTAGGCCTAGGATCCAGGAGATCGAGGTTCGATTCCCGGTCAGGGCACATGCTTGGGTTGTGGGCTCCATCCCCAGCCGAGGGTGCACAGGAGGCAGCAGATCAATGACTCATCATTGATGTTTCTCTCTTTCCCTCCCTCTTCCTTTCTCTGAAATCAATAAAGATATAGTAAAAAAAAAATTTAATTATCTCAACTGGAGAATCTCTCATTACAAATCCTGTGTCACTTCAGTTTCTTAGGGGAACAGGTAATATCCCAAAACTAGTAACACACATGTTCTTTTTTTTAAATATATCTTTACTGATTTCACAGAGAGGAGAGGGAGAGAGATAGAAACATCAATGATGAGAGTCATTGATCAGCTGCAGCCCGCAACCCGGGCATGTGCCCCGACCGGGAATCGAACCCCGATCGCCTGGATCCTAGGTCGATGCTCAACCGCTGAGCCACACCTCGCCGGGCTACATATTAATTCTTAAAAAATTATGACTCGCCCTGGCTGGTTTGGCTCAATGGTTAGAGTGTCAGCCTGTGGACTGAAGGGTTTTGGGTTCAATTCTGGCCAAGGGCACGGACCTCAGTTGCGGGAGTGTGAGGCAACCAATCGATGTGACCTTGATGTTTCTCTCCCCCTTCCACTCTCTTTGAAAAGCAATGGAAGAAACATCCTCAGGTGAGGATTACAAAAAGTTAGGACTCACTTAGAAACCCCGGTTTGGCTTTCTCCTCTCATGCCTCAGTAGTGAAAATGATTTTTTTTTCTTTGACATTTCCTTCTCAGAGGATTGAGATTTAATTGGTGAGATCTGAAGATTACCAGGATTATACTGAGAAATTGGGGTGCCCCTGTCTGGTTCAGGGAAACCTACCCAGGGACTTATCTTCACTGTTTTACCAACTATGTCATTTATGGAACTCTTCACACCACCATTAGCTTGGGCGACTCTTTATCCAAAGTGACAGATCCAAGGTAAATTTGTGTTAACCCAACAGAACTGTACTAAAATGAAGTCTCATTGGGTCTGGTTTCCTAAATCCCAGGGTGAGGCTTATTAGAGCAGTGTGGGAAAATCTGGTGGTACAATTTTTAATTTTCTCACCTGATTCCTTACTTTGGATATTGCAAGTTACAGGAATACATGCTACTTAATAAAACGCAGATATGTATAGTCAATAAAAGGTCACCCACAAACCTCCTCTCTAACTGAACCTTTCCTTGCCAGGTGACTGTGATTCAGGACACCTCCTTGTAATAAGACTCACACCAAAAGTACTGGGCCAGTGGTATAATTCTGAATTTAAAAACAAAGTCTAAACAATTTCCAGGCTTGTGAAATTAATCTATGAACATAGAAATTAAAACAAAACCAAACCAAAACCCCTCATTACTTTACTCACATTTTGTATTTTATTAATGAAAGAAAAAAATTGTAGCACCCTATAATTTTAAGACAGTAACTGTAACTTAAATGCTAACCCACTCTATAAGATAGGGACCCTTCCCCCAGGGCTATAGTAGGGATTTACTTAAGTTTCCCAAACCCAACAACAACTAATAATTTTTATTTCTTAACACCTCAAAAATATATTGTACTGTGTTACTGTGCCCCATAGCGGAAACATTCCACAAATGATATTTTTTTCTATGGACATGATTCATTGACTCAAACCAGAATATAGCTACTAAAATACCTACAATTACTTCTGGGGGTTACTTGGTGGTATGCTAAGAGGTATTGCCAATGATATGGTGAATATGCTCCATCTTTCCAGAGAGCAATATTTATTCGAGGCTAAGGAATCAGAGGTTTATTTTTCAAAAATGTTAAATGGAAATTTTCTTTCCAAAAAAAATATATAGAGAACCCCAATACATAAAACAAGTTCTAGGAAACTGCGTTGGCAGTAGCAGTTGGCTGATGCAAGTTCTCCGTCCACACACCCAGAGGCTGCATGGCCCCTTCCCTCCTGGTGTAACCCTGGGGAAATGCTTGGCACACCAAGCCTCACTGCCCTCTAATTCAGTTCAAAGACTGGGCAGCCTGCCCAGAACACAGAAAGGTCCCAAGGGGCCCAAGAGCCACCAACACTGTATCAGTCTTGCTTGCCCTTTTTTCAAGTAAATCAAAGAGGTAGCATAGCTGGTCTTTTGTGTGCTGAAGTCCATTTCTTTATACCTACTTTTCTGGCTTTTCAGTCTTTTTGACTGCAATAAATTTTAACAAATCTGCTTGTGTTAATGCGGTTCTCAGATCCTGTGGGACCTCCATTTTAGGTCACAGTGAACAGCAGTATATTTTCCCAAACTGTGAGAAAGTGCTGAATGTTCCCAAATAGCATCCTGCCCCCTAATCTGGTTTCTGAACGTCCTGGTGCTTTTCCTTCTTTGTATATTCTTCTAGTCGAAGAAGCCACTTTGCCCAGTACTGGGAACACAGCTCTGAGTTCATGAAATGTGCGTGGGCAGGAGATCCATCTTTGTAGGCCACCACAATTAAACCACACTGAACCTAGGAAGAAACACAGTAGGCTGAGAGTTTAGGTTAATCTCCTTCTTACTCCAGGGCAAACTCAGAACAAAACAATCTATAGTAACATCTCCTAACTCAATTTCTAAGATGGGATGATGAAAGACTGTACCAGGACACATAAGAACACCGCGATGACAGATAAGACATTGAAGAAGAGACTGTCATCACTGAAGAATAGACTGTTTCCAGAGGAGGAAAAGTGCATTTTAAAGTGGCAGGAGGACAAGGAACAGAGTAAGCAGTGGGATAAAGACAGAGTAAGAACCATAAGGGGTTAAGTAGCTATAAACAAGCATTGAGCAAAAGCTTTAAGCAGAGGCTCAGTGTCCTGACCTGAAAGCTATAGTTGGCATCATTGTTTATCGCACCCATGTACGCCACAACCTGCAGCGGGTTGTCAAATGTATTTCGGATAAAAGGCTTTGGTTTCTCCGATGTCTTCCAATCAATCACACACAGGTTGCCTCTAAAGAGAATAGTAGGTAATAGTTCAAACTACAAAACTCTATTAGAGTAACTTATGTATAATTTACTACTTGTCACCCAATGACACTTGCTTCTATTCTCCACCTGCCAAAAAGGCAGCCCCTCTGAGCTTTCTCTCTCAGGATTAGAAAGATCTGATGTTCGCTTTGCTCTGAACCCTTTATTCAGTATATGAGCCTGTCATGGGTTTGATGGACAGTGTTTCCTAAATTGCACCGGTGAGACCTACAGATGCAGGCCCACATGGGAGTGCTGGGGAACAACTTTTCCTCAGTTCAAGTTTCTATGCTCTCTCAAAATTCCTTGGAATCTCCAAGGCCTCCTCTCTTTTAACAGGTGACGGGAACTGAAACTACACCTATTATTTCTTTAGTTGATTTTGCTTCAAATGTCTATCAGAATGAACCACAACAGACCAGTAACAAAGTCCTCATCATAAAAGACTAAACATCATGGTGCTTCAGAAAGTCTCTTGCTCAAAAACCAAGGCTGGGGTTCAAATCCATCAACACTTAAAAATGCAACTCTACAATGAGATACCACCTCAAAACCCATTAGGATGGCTACTATCAAAAAAACTAAGTGTTAGAATGTGGAAAAATTGGAACCTTTGTGCACTGTTAGGAACATAAAATGGCATAGCCCCTATAGAATACAGTACGGTTTCTCAAAAAATTAAATAGAATTACCATATGCTCTAGCAATATTCCACTTCTGGCATATATCCAAAAAAATTAAAAGCACGGTCCTGAGAGATGTATGTATACCCATGTTCACAACAGCATCATTCATAATATCAAAAACCTGAAAGCAACCCAAGTGTCCACTGATGGACGGATAAGCGAAATGTGGCATATACATACAATGCAATACTCATCAGCCCAAAAGAGGAAATTCTGACATATGCTGCAACATACATGAACCTTGAGGGCATTATGCTGAATGAAATAAACCAGTCAGAGACAAATACTGTATCATTCCACGTATACGACAGAAAGTAGAATGGTGGATGCCAGGGGCTGGAAGTAGGGGGGAATGAGGCGGTTACTATTTAATGGGTACAGAATTTCAGTTTTAACAGATGAAAAGTGTACTGGAGATGTATGGTGGTGACGATTGTACAGTATAAATGCATTTAATATCACTGAACTACACACTTAAAAATAAATGGTCAATTTTATGTGTATTCTGCCACATTAAAAACATGGCTTTTTAAAGAGTGGGAGGCTTTTGTTTTTAATTCAGTTACAGTTGACATACACTATTATATTAGTTTCAGGTACATATACTGACCATCAAAAATTCCTTTTAAATTTCTAAAACCTTAGTTTCAAAAAGGTTCAACGTTCATATTCTCAATGCTGATGTGATACTCTGTGTTAAGAGCAAAAAACAAACAGCAGTACTATGGACATGTTTTGTAATCCCTATGAAAAGTGTCTGGTAGCAGGAATTTCTTGCAGGCCTTTGGTAGAATTAATTGTATGGCTTCACTGGTTAATCTGAAGGGCAGCCAAATATAGCCTATTAAATTTCTAGGCACAAAGGGCTCTTCTCAGATATGAGGCAGCTATGGCATGAAACTATGGTAGCCTAAAACACAGTAGTTTCCAGAGTAATAGTGTTAATTTTTTTAAATTTAAATTTTAACTAGAGTTCTAAGGGTTACACCCACAGATGGTTTTTCTCCCATCCTACTGTATTGCTCACATATTTTTTTTGGAATAGGGGTATCCGCAGGTTATATCTACCCTTGGAATCTGGAGTATGTGGGAAGGAAGCTATAGTAAGCTCAGAGTTCCTACCCGTGTCAAAAAGTACCTGGAGCCAAGGAAAGAGGTTGACTTTCAGGGCCAACAGATTAAGATGTTGTGCTCGCTTCGGCAGCACATATACTAAAATCAGATTAAGATGTTATTTTTAGGGGCACAGGGAAGAAAATGCAGGAATCAAATTGGATCTTATGGTTAGTACCTGGCTTGGGGAGAGGGAGGAGGAACATGCTACAAAACAGGCCATCCTAGGGATATTAAAAAGTTTTACCTTTGCCTCACCAAACATTTTGATTTTGGAACACAAATTTGCAAGGATTATGTGGCTCTTCCCCCTGTACCCATTCTTACCCAATTCTTTTACCTGTCACATAGGTTTTGACTTTACAGAGGCTGTACCTTGAAGCCGGAGTTTAGATGAAATAAGTGTTTGACAGGCACCATCTGTCCCACTTTAGGACAGATTAATTCACCTCCACACTTTGATAAAAACAATCTAATACTTACTGATACTCAGCCACACAGTCCAGCAGACCTACATACTTTAAGGTCTCATGTTGAACAGCGCTTTCAAGAGCTCGAACTCCACTGATATCTTTTAGAATATGCTGGACACTTTCGATGTAGCCAGATTCGAGATTTTCATCTCTCTCTTTTAAGTTCCCCTGGGGTGAAAGTATGCTTTCCAAGGCTTCATGGAACTGTTTCCCTTGTAAAAATATGTCTGAGGAAAAAAAAAAAAAAAATCAAGGGAAAATGAAAAAACAAAACAAGAACTAGTACTAAAAAACAAATACTCTAAAAAACTGAGTAATAAAATTAAAAATTACACAAGATTTACCTTTAAGTGACAACCCCTGAGATACCACATTTCAGCCCTTGTGAAACCTAAGAATGCACTTTGAAAACCAAAGAGACTGGAATAGTTTAGCCAATAAAATGGCTTAAAATAAAGTCTTTCTAACTGAATTAGGCCAAAACTAGAATTAAAGATCTGGGGCTACAGGAACACACTAATTTATGGTACTGTGAATTTAAGTATCCATTTTAATAAGTTAACGGGTTGTGGTAAATTATTAGAAATTTAGGAAACTGCACTTTTGTTTACTTCTTTTTGCAATCAAAACTTAACTATGGACATAAAAACGGCAGGGAAGCCTTTCACTAGCTGGCTTATGACTGGCAAGAAGTGAAAATCAAGGCACATACAAATTAAAAACAAGGAATTGTTGTGGGGATTTTGTGGGACTTGGAGGGAGGGGAGGAAAATATGTGATTCTTCTCTTGCACTTTTCTAGGGTAGGGTAGTTGCTCTGTCCTGAAATTTTTTTTCCTCATACACTTTTTAAAATATATCTTTACTGATTTTAGAGAAAGGAAAGGAGAGGGAGAGAGACAGAAACATCAATGATGAGAGAGAGTCATTGATCAGCTGCCTCCTGCACATCCCCTATTGGAGATCGAGCCCGCAACCCAGGCATGTGCCCTGACCGGGAATTGAACTGCAATCTCCTGGATCCTAGGTCAATGTTCAACTGCTGAGCCATGCCTGGCCGGGCTCCTCATATACTTTTAAGAGAAAAGGCCATGAACATACTCAGCAAATGAAAGAAATATTACATATTCACTTGATTCTCAGTAAGGGAAGGGAAGAAAGAGGGGGCGTTGTGTTAAACAGTGGCCTTGGTGCTTTCAAAATACTGTTATTTATTCTTTTTAAGCAGGGGAGAGTGTGAATGCAGTCCCACACTACACTATCAATAAGAGTGAAAGGGCAATACACAGAATGGGAGAAAATATTTCAAGTTATATATCTGATAAAAAATTGTCCAGAATATTAATAACAAAAAACACCAATGAGATTTAAAAATAGGCAAAAAACTCAAATAGACATTTCTCTAAAGATAAACAGCCAATCAGTACATGAAATGATGCCCATCATCACTAATCATGAGGGAAATGCAAATCAAATCTATGAGATACCACCTCACGCCCATGAGGATAGCTACTATCAAAAGACAGAAAATAATTCAATTTGTCAAAATAAGTTATAATTTTTAAAAAGTTTACTGATTTTTTTGAGAGGGAGATAGAGGGAAAAGCATCAATTTTTGTTGTTCCACTTATCCATTCATTGGTTGATTCTTGTACGTGCCCTGACTGGGGATTGAACCCTCAACCTTGGCATATCAGGACGATGCACTAATCAACTGAGCTACCCGGCCAGGGCAAAAAATTTTTTAAAAGATTCAAGATTTATTGCAGATAGCATCAAGTCAGAGTAGTCACTCAATAAGTTAAAGGAATTAAAGTGAAAAGTTTTCAAGTTCCAGTATATAAAGGGCATTAAAAAAATTCATAAGTCTCCAATATTCTGACTGATAGAATTGACAGAATGGAAAATATTTTAGGGTTAAAAAAATGAGTAGCAAAAAACTGAAAAAATAAACCCCAGCTATTTCCACTATGATGGACACATGTAAATCAGAGTAAGTCAGACTTTCTTATTCTCAGCAAACTTCAAAAGGTAAATTGATACTTGAGAAACTGACAAAAACCTTAAGATGCCATTAAAAGATTATGTTGCTTGTTTAGAAAGCTGAGAATACAGGCAATACCTTGGGGATATTGGGGGCTCAGTATCACACACACCACCGTAATAAAACAAGTACCTAAAGTGAGTTGTAACTTTTCTCCTTCACTTAGTAAAAAATGCAACACCTGTGAAATAAAATCACAATAGATCGAATCACAATAAAATGAGGCATGCCCGTAGTTTGGTGGTTGTTACTAATCAACTTTCCTCAGAAGGCAATTAGCCACTGCATGGAGTCTTTGTCCCAAAGAGCTGAAAAATGTTATAAGGCACTACGGTCTTGACCATTTCTGCCATATCTAGGTGCCACCTATATACGTAATAATTTTCTTTAAAACACGTGACCATTTGTTTAACGTGTGCACACATGCACTTTTTTTCTAAGGTGCTTCAAAATAAGTGCATTACTCTTAAAAATAAACGTGCTTGTGTACCACTAGGGGTACACATACTGCTCTCTGGGAAGCATAGGTGAAGGAATGCTCAATGTAAAACAGCTTTAAGACAACTACACAGTTCTGATGAGGATCAGCTAATTCACCTGTGCATTTGAATGGACTGTTTCAAGGAAGCTATTCTCTTCACTTGTCTAGTAAGTTTGTAAGTTAGGAGTTGAAGGCTAAAGTTTACTTATTCTCAGTTCCTAATCAAGAGCATCTGATTATCTCTTTACCAAGACCCAAATACAGACTGTGTGTTCTGGCTTATTGTTTTAATTCCGCTGGTCTGGCTTGTCAGTCTACGTTAATAAGTAAACAAGGGATTATTTACTAGATTCTGAACAGAATGCCTAGTAAACAACTAGAATTCCATCATCATGCTCATTCCATAATCAAAGAAAACAGGCAATTCTAATACTTACGTTTACAGCTTATAAAATATATGAATTTTATACATCACTTAGTCAAAATACTTGACCTCTGCGCTTCAGTTGCATTTGTGAAATGGGGACAACAGTATCTATGCTTTGTAGGGTTGTCATGAGGATTAAGGGAGTTAATACACAAAGTGCTATTTAAAGCTAATTATCATTTGAAAGAAATTCCTCACTAGTTAAGGTTAAAAAACAACAAAGAACACACCTTAGAAGAATGACACTAGTGCTCTATAATTCTAGAAAACACAGTAACAATACAGAACCAGGATTAAGAAAATTACTTGATGTATATTCTGCAAAGCCATCCTCTCCCAGTTCCAGAATCATCCGCTGTTTCCACCTCTCCAGATAGAAAATCTGCTCTGATGTCATGGTCTGCTGAAGGACGCGGGTCACACTAGGTACCTTACTCCTCTGCAAAGGGATTTTCAAAGGACTCGCGGCATCACTCGCTGCACTTGGTTTGAAGCTTTTCTCTGGATTGAAGAGAGGAAACCAGTTTCCCGGAACCCTCGCTTCCTCGTCGTGCTTCGGGGGTTTACACTTACTCACAGGCCCATAGAGTAAAGTGTCTTCCTCGAACAACGACTCTGGAGTCTGAGCGGGGCCTCTGGACGACAAGACAGACTGTACTAAGTCGTCATACTTCTCCTGGTTCACCTCTTGGTAAGGGTTCGCTTTTTTCTTCCGGCCGCAAGCGGAAGCGGAAGTGGAGAAGCCCACCTGCGGGCAGGGTGCTGCAGAAAACCCCCCTGCCCTCCTAAGCTGCCTGCAGACGGCCTGAAACGCCTTCATCTTTAGACTCCGCACTCTCCTCTAGTCTCCCGTGCGGTGCCGAGCGCCTGTTCAGTGTCCGTGATCCTATTAGAGAGAAAAGTGGTGTTAGGCGCCCAAAGTGTTCAGCGTTTTCACTATCAGTGTGAAAGCTGCGTCAGTACGATATTGCACATTTAAAAGCCTCAGCAAGCCCGGCCGCAGGGGCTCAGTGGAGGAGCGCGGCCCCATCCACCGGAGGCCACGGGTTCGACTCCCGTCAGGGCAAATGCCGAGCCAACCTGGATGTGTCTCTCTCCCTGAAATCAATAAAAACGTATTTTTAAAAATTTAAAGGAAAAAAATAAAGTCTATTCAGTAAGCTTTTGTGACGTGTTTGGACAAAGCTATTTCCAAAGAAAAGGCTCTCAATACGAGGGCCAACACTTATTTAATGCGAAATAGCAGGCGGCTTGGGCAAGACGTCCCCAATGCTCGGTCACAAGGGAGACGCGCAGGAAGGGAGGCGCGAGACAGAAAAACCACCCAGGAGCCCATCCTCTAACGCCCAGGAGTCCGTTAACAATTAACCCCGGATCCTAGGTACCGTGTGGAGATTTCTCATTTAGCCCTCACGCCCTCTAAGGTGGGTGCTACGCCACCCGCTCTGCAGACGCGGGGATCTAGCTGCCGAAGGGCCACGTCAGGTCCGAGCAGGTAAGGGCGGCCAGCAGGGCGCACCGCCGCGATCCCCGTGAGTCGGGGGCTCCCGCTCCTACGCCGCCGCCGCTGCGGCACCGCGGAGGCGACAGAAAAGCAGTGGCCCTATGGTGGGAGTCAGGACTGGGGAAGAGGTGGCTTAAAGAGAAGCCTAGCTCAGGGCAGGCGTAGGTACCTCAGAGGCCACCACGCTTCGCTTAACAACCACTCCCGACGCGGATTTTCATCGGTCCCGCGCTTTGTTCTCAATTTGAGTTTCGGCCAAGGACGGCGGACCCAGCAGGCACCGCGCGCCGCGGCACTCACGTCCCGCCCCTAGCCTCTGGTTCACCTCCATTGACGCGCACGCGATCCGTGGGGAGTCCCGCCCCTTCGGCCGAAGCGCGGGCGCCTCCAAATCGCGCCCTTTCGCTCTCGCGAGATCGTGTTTACGTCACACCTCGTCGCCATCTTGGGCCCTGGCCGAGTAATAAATATCCCCGCACTAGGGCGCGGTCTTTCTTCAGACGCGCCTTGTCGGGAGTGTTTCTGGCTCTGCGTTCCTCTCGCGGCTCTGTAGTCTGCGGCTTCCGTGGCCCGGAGCGAGGGTAGGCCCCGCGTAGCTTCTTTGCCCGGCTCCAAGATGGACGGCACCGGGTACGGGGGAGGCAGTTGTGGGGGAGCACGTGGCGCGCCTCTAGCCTTTCCCGGGGCTTCTGGGATGGTGGCGGAGTCGCCAGGCCTCCGGCCGCCTTGGGGCAGGGAGGCTAGCGGAGGCGGGGCCGCGTCCGCCCCTCTAGGCGCCCCCGCAGCGACGGCCCAGCCTCTTCTTTCCTCGCACAGCCCGGCAGCCCGCGCTCGAGGCCCGCGTCGCCATGGCCGCGGTTCCCGAGTTGCTGCAGCAGGAGGAGGAGGACCGCAGCAAGGTGAGGCCTTACGTGCGTCCAGGCTCCAGGCGGAGGCCCCGCCGACCTCTCGGCGCCCCACATTTCTTTCCTCGCCCCAAGGGGACTCGGGGGGCTGCTCGTGCACCCGGGTCTCGTGGCGAGGGGCTCCCCCACGTGGGAAGCACCTGCCGGACCCCGAGCGTTCTTTGTTCTCCCTGAGAGCTGAGGGCCGCCTGGTGGTTCGCGGCCCGGTGCCCGGTACCGAGCGGGCGCGCGGCCGAATTTCTGGGGACCCGAGAATGTGTTTTTACGTAAAAAGTTTTTAGAACTTAACCTTGGCTTCGTGAAGACTGGACGGGGAACGTGAGAGCCTCCTAACATGCAGCAAACGGCAGTGCGGCTTAGTTGCCTCCCCACAGTTTGAGAAAACTCTCTTTGGCCCCAATACGGGGACATTTCAAGTCAGAAACCCGAAGCCTGTGTCTTACAACTTTATAAAAGCTAAATGCGTCACTGCGGGAGTTGTGCAATTTTTAGTAGGTGCTCCAGTACTTGTTGAGCTCGGTTTTTACTTCTAAAATGTGGGTATTTGTGTGAGTCACCCCCGTGCCGCCTAGGTCGCGAGGCCCGGAGGCAGGATCCGCCTCCCGGGGCCGGTGGGCTCGGGGCGCCCGCTCTGCGGCGCCCCTTTGGGCTGAGCCAGCTTCGCGGCTCGTGCGCGTCTGCAGGAGCCGCGAGGCTCTGTGCAGAGTCCTCAACAAAAGTTTTTCTGACAGAAAGTTTAAAAAAAAAGTAATCTGAAGATGCAAGGTACCGCTCTGATTTAACCTGGAAGACGTCTTAAAAAATGTTTACATCTATTTTCCCAGTCTTTGGAGAGGCCGTTTTTGGTCTAGTCAGTACCGAGTTTTTCCAACAAGGGCGTCCCTGCTGTATTTTCGTTGATGAAATACAAGTTTGTGATGAGGGTAGTAGGGTCTTGGATGGAGTATTTTTATTTGAAAGTTGAGAGAAGTTGTTCTTTTTACTAAAACTCAAAAGCGGGGACTTGAGACTCCAATTCTTTCTAGGACATTCCAAAGGTAGATTTCTCTCTAGAAGTTTGGGTGCGAAATAGGCGTTTTGAGAGCAGTTTGATCCACACGCCGCTTCCCTCCCGACCCAGGGTGTTCGCTTTAGACTCACTGCCCCGGGGCCTCCCTCTCTGTCGGGTGCTTACGACGTTTTGCCTGTCATTCTGATCCTGCAGCAAGATTGGAGGATTTTGAAGGCTGTTTTCTGCCCCCATTCCCCTGGTTTTAGTGGCTACAGGAAAAGGACTTTATAGAATTATGTTTCTTCTGATTTTTTGATTGAGAAGTCTGGAGATAATAAAACTTGCTACATTGCCCCAGCACGTGGCTGCACTTGCTTCCCGACCTAATGCCGGTCCTGTGCTGTGTCACCTGCAGGTGGTCTTCTCTGTTCACGTAAAGGGTGAATAGAGGCCAGGTCTTGGGCAAATCTGCGCTGCTTGTTAGTCAACTGAAATGTTTTTTACAGAAAATATTTTAAGTTTAAACTTTCTGATTATTGGCTTTGGAATTTCCATGAAAATAAGAGGCTCATGGGGTTTATTTTTTTAATATCTTTGTTTTTATAGAGGAAGGGAGAAGAAGAGAAACATGTATGTCCAGCAGCTGCCTCCTGCACACCCCCTACCGACCTTGGTGCATGGGACCTCGCTCAGCCAGCTGAGCCACACCAGCCAGGGCAAGAGGTTCATGGAATTTAGATCAGCTAATAAAGGAGGGAACATAATTGATTCTTGAGGAATTTAAATACTCATAAAATACTCTTTGCTAGTTCAGCAAAACTGAGAGGAATATTGGTTTTTAACTGGTGTCCTGACACTTTGATTTGGTGAAGGTGTTGGGATTTGCCTCCTTGCCCAAAAAGCAGTCTAAGGGAAGAGTTGCGTGGTGGTTAACGCGTCCTCTACTGATGGGAAGATTGTATTTTGGTAACTTAGAAAAGTAGGATTTTACCAGATGTCACCCCTGAAAATGTTAACTAAAGCATTAACACCAGTGGGCCCCATCTTTATAATAAACTAGTACTGTGCCACTGCCCCCACTCCATGGATGTCCTCAGATGTCTGGAGTTTTTTAGTGGGTAGGGGGAAATAATTGGAGATCATGTAAACTTTGTTCCTATAAAATAGATTACCCTAGTCTCTAGTTATTTTGCATCTTATAGGTTCTCCAGGCCTTCTGTTTGCCAAAAAGCTATTTAAATAGCTGGGCATCATGTGTAGATTCCTACTCACAGATTCAGTGTGTATCTTTCTGTGGCGGTGAGTCTCCTTCCCAACAGTCTAGTAAACGAACAGCAAGTTGAGTATGGGTCTTGATTGCCTCCTAGGACTTTTTTTTTTTTTTTTTTTTTAAAGCG